CGGAATTCCTCAGCAATTTGTGTCGACTTTTTATTTTATTTTATTTTATTTTAGCAATCTGTGCACAGGGATGATGGCAACAGGCTGAAGCCCACTGCTTCAGTTACCCACAAAAGCGGCAAAAGCAACCACGAGGCGTATACTTGATTTCTAGCCCTGCAATCCTTTGTTTGCGGTGCCTTTAATATTATTTATTTATTTACTTATACTCTGGCTAAGAGGTTATTATAAGTTGACTACCTTTTCGTATTATTAGTTATTGTTCATGTATTATTTTTGTATTTATTTCATTACAGTTTTATTAAATTACAAAAAAATCTTTGAAAACTACAAAAATCTCTTTACCAAATTCCAAATTTAATTGTATATTCTTACAACGAGAGAATTTTACATTTAAGATAAGTTTCGAATAATATTTTAATTGTATATTCTTACAACGAGAGAATTTTACATTTAAGATAAGTTTCGAATAATATATGTCTGTAGACATTTTACGTAACCCACTTTGACTAATTCGATAACTGCTAAATATTTTAATAATCTTATTACATACAATTTAAATTTATTTAAAAATATTTCCTCTCTTTTAAAAATTTTCTTTAGCTATTTTATACTAGAGTCTCGTTAAACAGTTTATTAAACAAATGTGTTTCAAACATTTTAATTCGCGGACCTCCACTTAAATCTCTTTTTTCCAATTCCCCTGCCTTAATTCCTGGTTATGGCTTTTTTATACGTTTTTTATTGGATTACTTTACGGCTTTGGTTGGCCAATTGTCAATTAAGCAATTTGCGCATTTTTATTTCACACTCACAGAATTTCCGCTTGTACTGGTTTATAGCACCGAAAAAAAAGCCAACGATATTTATATATAAAAATATTCAATGGGGCGTGGTTAATAATTAATTAACGTGGAATTTTCCAGTGTTTTTTTTTTAATTTTTTTAGATTATTTTCTTTTTTAGTGGAAAAATGGGCGCGTAGAGAGGATAATTTCAAACGGGCAACGACGATCGCCGACGACGAGATGCGCCAGGATTCAAAGGAGCAACGAGGACGAGCGTCGCGATTTCCGCTCGCGCGTTTTCCGTGCGACTTCAGCGGTGCGACTTCAGCAGCTGGCGTTTTGGGCAGAACTGAGCGAAGACGCTGCGGAAAATCGGAAAATCGCACACGCACATGTCGCCTGGCCAGCCAGTTTCCATTCGACATTTTCCGAATTATCACAGCAGCCGCGCGCTTGTGGAGCTTTCAAAACATCCGCATGAAAGCTGCCCTGCCGCCTGTTTTGTGGCACGCAAGCTTTTGGCCCGTCACGTGGAAACTGGGATGGAAATTCGCCAGGAAAAGCGCGGAAAGCGGCGAGCAAAACAAAATCGCCGAAAGCAAAATAGAAGCGAAATTAAAGCCAAACGACAGGATAAACAGCAGAATATTAAACAAAATTCGTGTAAAATGTCTCAAAAAAGTGAATGTTATATTTAATTATATATATTTTAATTTTAATTTAATTTCTTAGAAATTCTCTTTAAACTCTTAACATATTATTATGCATTCATCTCGTTTCTTTTTTGTTATTTTGCCATTTCCTAAAGCTTTAAACAAACCAAAAACTTTCCTTTAGGAGCATAATGACAGAACGTGCCTAATGAGGTTGCTCTTTTTCTCATGTCGTTACTTTTAAAGTTTCTGCCATCCTGCACAGTTTTCTTTTTTAAGTTTCAACCGAGTCAGCAAAGGCGCTGAATTAGTGAAGCACACGATGGACATTAAGTAGAAAAAATCTTAGCAGAGTGCTAAAAGTCACTAAAAAAAAATATATTGCCATTTTAATTGAATAGTTTTTTTTCAAACAAATAGTTAACCACCCTGTATGTTTGTCATATAAATTTAGGGTATTTATATTCTTTTTATTTACATCTTAATATTTGGAAAATTATTTAAAACATTAATCTACACAATGTAATGTTATTTATGGGTGAATCTAATTTTTAAGCATAAATGCAATTGGTTACACCTTTTAGGTTTTTCTATACCCTCAGGCTGTTATGAAGACGATTGCCGCCCATTTTCCCAGTCCATACGTGCCCCTATTTGTGTATTTTTTGGGACCATGTCAGAGGAATGAATAATGTGCACCTGGGCGCAAAAAAAAGGGGGATGGATGGCAGATGGAAGATGGGATCTGCAACGAACCCAAACCCCCGGGAGGACCAGGGGTTAACCAAAGCCGTTGATCAACCGCCGCTGTTTGCTTGCCGTTTGTTTGTCTTGACTTCGCGTCCATTTAGCATATTTCATGCTCCCTCGTCCTGCGTCCTCCGACCAGCGTCCTGCGTCCTGTGCCATGAAAAATCCTTTATGGCAAGTGAATGGAATAACCAAGCAGCCGCCGACGGCAGCTGAATGAAAGTCATTGCCTACATAAAAATGCTTTCCGCTTGCTTAGCCACGCCAAGTTTTTCCTTTCAGCTAATGTCTAATAAGCAATTTGCCCCCTTTGTTTTTTCCCCGTCAATTGAGGGATTCTTTTTACAAATGATGCCAAGTTACTGGGCGAAAAACCCGAAAAGCACGAAAAACCCCCAAGTGAAAAGTGAAAACTCAGCAACAGGCCCGCGGCCAACAGTCGAAAAAGTCAAAAAAAAAAAAGTCAGGGGGTCATAAATTTTGTTTTGCCAACAGCTTTTCAATGCCATTTTCCGAATGCAGTGGAAAAACCACACACAGCGCTGTGCAACGCTGCGTATGCTTAACACTCCGCAGCGAAATGATTTATGCGCTGCACGAAGTCAAGGGAAAAGAAAGGAGAAAGTAGAAAGAAGGAAAAGGTAGGAAAAGGAGGGAGCGTAAAAGAAAATGTGGAAAATGGTGGTAGCGGGAAACTTTATGTTTTGAATATGTTTTCAGCTTTTCCAGGAGGAACCCAAGCTCTTAAGAGACTTTCCTAAAAGCCCAAGGGAAAGAATTTTCAACTGGCTTTTAAGCTTGCAAGTTGTAAGCTAAGCTTAAAAAGCTATTGTAAGCCCAAAGATTGTTTTCTAGGATAATAACTTAAGAGCTTTTACTGAAGCTTTTGCTACGAAAATGGTAGTTAAGTTTGGAACTATTTTTTAAATTTCAATTTCAATTTTCCTTTTAAATTTGTCTTTCATAAATAAAAGCAACTACCTATTTTTTTCCAACAAAATTGTAATGCCACATTTAGTCGCGCCAAGAAACTTTTATGAAAATGAAACTGTATCGTATAAAAATATAAATAAAAGTAAAAACCCTTTTCTTATGCTAAACAAAACAAAGTAAAATGGTTGACAATAAAATCGGATTGTAAGGAACAAACCCTTGAAACATGAAACTCATAATTAGAAAAAGCATATTTCATTCCCCCCACTTTTCACTGCTAATTGTCATTGCAAATGTGAGGGTTTGTCATTTCCCCTTTTTAGTGGAAATGTCACTTAACTTCAGTTCCCTCTGGCAGTTTTCCAGCTCGCGTTGTCTCCGCCGGAAAAAGTATTAACTCCCCAACGACGACTGCCATCAACTGCAGCAGTTTAATTGCAAATTGCTGGGAACTCGCCTGGTCGGGCAATTACGAAATGATGGGTTGGGGTAGCGGCCCATAGCTGTGGGACGAAGGGGTTGCGCTTACCTATACACTTAAAGAACTAAGTTGGCTGAATTACGAAATATAATTAAAATTAAAAACGAAACCGAAATTCGGAAATAAACATTAACACAAAAAAAAATAGAATATACCCATACTTAAAATTGAGTTTGTTTATAATTTAAATAAATAAATAATAAATAATGCAAGGACTTTAAAACGCCAATTTGTATTAACATTTTTCCTTTAGTGCACGGATGTTGTTCCATTTGGCTCGGGCATAAGGACATTTCAGGGGGATGCGACTTTGCAAATGCATTTTCCATGAGCGGGACTCATCGTCCTTTTCCTCCTCCTCCGGAAAAACCCATAACTATCCCCAGCTGCAGCTGCACCATCATCGTCTTCATCATCGGGCACTTGTCTGCCGCTCTTGTGGCGCGTTTCTATTTCTATTTCCATCCTTGCCGGCATCCTTTCCATCCTTTGCCAACTTCCGCAACGCTGACGCACAGTGGGTGTGATTATGCACTGGCAAAAAAAATGCAAGGAAAAAAAAGACTCTGCACTATTTAGATAAATCCAATGCACCGCAAATCTTTCAATTTATTTTGAAATTTAAATTGTTATATATTTTTTTTATTTGTTATGCATTTTTAAAACAAGAAGGACTTTCTATGCCTTCATTTTCTCAGTGCTGGCGAAGATATAAGATGTTTTTCAGGGGGATGGTTAGCGACTTCCTTTCCGCTTGCGTAGGTGTTTCGCTCGTGGCCATCTTTTGGCCTCAGTTTGCCATTTTTCTTCATCTTTTGTGAGCGCTGATGAATTCGTTAGACGCCACCCCCTTTCAACTGCCCCTCATCCCAGCCCCCATACCCCACGCCCATGGTCGCACCTTTGGGGCAATCGTGCGCAGGTTGTAAACAACAGGCGGTGGGAAAAGAATGGAAACAAAAACCGCAATAAGTGAACATTTCAGTGTCGCCTCCTTGACGTCAGCGGCAGCAGGAAAATGCGGGAAAATCAGGGAAAGCATCAGAAGCCGCAGGAATGCAAACAGATGACATGCCGGAAGGAAAGCCACAGGAATCCATTGGTTTTACAAAGATTTCCATTCCTTTCGAAGGAAATACCGTTATGAAAATCGCAAACAAACAATTAGGTTTCCATTCAGGAAATTTGCATACAAATTTTGGAGTTTTATTTTTAAAGTGGGTTTCCTAAGACAAAAATAACAAATTTCGATAGGTATTGTTGAAACACAACCAACCCTAGGCACATTTTAAAAAATCATAGTAGGCCTCCCTAAATATAAGTCAAATATTTTCACCTTTACTTCAAAAGCCTGAGACTTTGGAATAAAAAAAAAATATGAAAATAAAACTAATTATATTCTTTCTTTTGCTACGCCTCCAATTGGCCCAGCTGGGAATGCACATTGACGAAGGCGACATTCCCGAGTACCTGAGCAACGGACTGGATCCGCAGAAGAAGCAGCGCAGCTGGGACTTCGAGGAGGAGGAGCAGGACCAGGAGCGGGACCAGGACCAGTGGCAGATCCATGCCTACATCGAGTCGCAGTCGGGGATCTGTTCCGCCGAGTCGCCCCACGATGTGCGGTACGAGAAGAACGACCGGTGCAAGACCACCGGTTCCAAGAAGATCGTCAAGGACGAGGACGATGATGATGAGGAGGCCGATCCTGCGGCCAATGGCGATGAAGATGACAATGACAGCGACAACGACGAGGATGATGACGACGAAGACGACGGCGACGATGAGGACGATGATGAGGAGGGCGACGGCGGCAATGAAATGCAGCTGGAGGACGAGGCGTTTGTGGAGAGGATCACCTGTCTACTGGGATCCCTGCACAAGCACACCAAGGCCATGAGCGATAATCTCAAGATCCTGCAATCGCGTTTGGGAACCCGAAAGAATTCCCCATCCCAATCCCAATCGGGGGGCAGCACTTGCAGGAAGAATAACTTTGGCACCCTGCTCGCGGCTCACCCCACTCATGCCAAGTGGCTCAAGAAACCGGATTTCTACGGCGAGGAGGAGCCGTGTGGTCCGGACAAATGTGATGCCCCGGAGAGCTCGGAGGAGTTCGAGGAGGGCCGCCGGCCACAGGCTTTGGGTGAGGAGCACCGGCTCCTCGTTCCGCCGCTTTTGCAGCTGATCCAAGGCTCGGCCACCTTGCAATCGCACTTGAAGGACCGCCAGGAGGCCGCCGCAGGATCGAAGCCCAGATATTGGATGCCCTCGCGGGAAGCCTGGGCTCCCGAGGAACTGCAGGCCGCATCGAAGTCGCCGGCCGCAGATAAAACTCAGCTGCGCTGCGAGGACTACGAGGCGCGGCTGAGGCGTCTCATGGACAATCGCGATGAAATCGAGCGGAATGTGATGAGGATGATAAGTCCGCTGCACTAGGAAACTTCATAGTGCACATAAATGTTATGAAGCTTGTAGCCAATGATTTCCTAATGAAATAAAATATTTTTTTGGCGGCAGTTGGGGCTTTAAATATTTATTTTCAAATTGCGAATTTTCCACATACAAATATTTTGTTTTTTCGCTGAAACAAAGGAAATATCTATCCAATTTTGGATTGTCATACCTTTCTGAACTCGTTATTAAATTTCCTAACGATTGGCATTTAAACCTTGACATTATATTTGTTTTAAATTTTTCGCAAAAAATCATGGGGTACCCCCTTATAAAAAAATTAAAAATTGGCGAAAATTTTATTTTTTCAAAATTACACGGAAAGTTTTATGGATTTATAGCAAATTTTGTTATCTGTTCAAAACAGTATGATTTTTTGGTGTAGGACCATTTTTGGCCAAGTTACAGCAAAAAAACCAAAAGAAAAAATTCCAATTTTTGTCAAAAACTGAAATCGCAAATTTCCAAAAAAAAACCAAACCCGTTTTTTCGCTAAAACGTTGCGGTTTTTTCGCTATAACAAAGCAAATACTGATTCAAAGTATGGATTGTCATACCTTTCTGAACTCGTTATTAAATTTCCTAACGATTGGCATTTAAACCTTGACATTATATTTGTTTTAAATTTTTCGCAAAAAATCATGGGGTACCCCCTTATAAAAAAATTAAAAATTGGCGAAAATTTTATTTTTTCATAATTACACGGAAAGTTTTATGGATTTATAGCAAATTTTGTTATCTGTTCAAAACAGTATGAATTTTTGGTGTAGGACCATTTTTGGCCAGGTTACAGCAAAAAAACCAAAAGAAAAAATTCCAATTTTTGTCAAAAATTGAAATCGCAAATTTCCAAAAAAAAACCAAACCCGTTTTTTCGCTAAAACGTTGCAGTTTTTTCGCTATAACAAAGCAAATACTGATTCAAAGTATGGATTGTCATACCTTTCTGAACTCGTTATTAAATTTCCTAACGATTGGCATTTAAACGTTGACAATTTATTCATTTTTAATTTTTCGCAAAAAATCATGGGGTACCCCCTTATAAAAAAATTAAATATTGGCGAAAATTTTATTTTTCCAAAATTACACGGAAAGTTTTATGAATTTATATCAAATTTTGTTATCTGTTCAAAACAGTATGAATTTTTGGTGTAGGACCATTTTTGGCCAAGTTACAGCAAAAAAACCAAAAGAAAAAATTCCAATTTTTGTCAAAAACTGAAATCCCGAATTTCCAAAAAAAAAAAAAACCCGTTTTTTCGCTATAACAAAGCAAATACTGATTCAAAGTATGGATTGTCATACCTTTCTGAACTCGTTATTAAATTTCCTAACGATTGGCATTTAAACCTTGACAATTTATTCATTTTTAATTTTTCGCAAAAAATCATGGGGTACCCCCTTATAAAAAAATTAAATATTGGCGAAAATTTAATTTTTCCAAAATTACACGGAAAGTTTTATGAATTTATAGCAAATTTTGTTATCTGTTCAAAACAGTATGAATTTTTGGTGTAGGACCATTTTTGGCCAAGTTACAGCAAAAAAACCAAAAGAAAAAATTCCAATTTTTGTCAAAAACTGAAATCCCGAATTTCCAAAAAAAAAAAAAACCCGTTTTTTCGCTATAACAAAGCAAATACTGATTCAAAGTATGGATTGTCATACCTTTCTGAACTCGTTATTAAATTTCCTAACGATTGGCATTTAAACCTTGACAATTTATTCATTTTTAATTTTTCGCAAAAAATCATGGGGTACCCCCTTATAAAAAAATTAAATATTGGCGAAAATTTTATTTTTCCAAAATTACACGGAAAGTTTTATGAATTTATAGCAAATTTTGTTATCTGTTCAAAACAGTATGAATTTTTAGTGTAGGACCATTTTTGGCAAAAAAACCAAAAGAAAAAATTCCAATTTTTGTCAAAAACTGAAATCGCAAATTTCCAAAAAAAAACCAAACCCGTTTTTTCGCTAAAACGTTGCAGTTTTTTCGCTATAACAAAGCAAATACTGATTCAAAGTATGGATTGTCATACCTTTCTGAACTCGTTATTAAATTTCCTAACGATTGCCATTTAAACCTTGACAATTTATTCATTTTTAATTTTTTGCAAAAAATCATGGGGTACCCCCTTATAAAAAAAATTAAAAATTGGCGAAAATTTTATTATTTCAAAATTACACGGAAAGTTTTATGAATTTATAGCAAATTTTGTTATCTGTTCAAAACAGTATGAATTTTTGGTGTAGGACCATTTTTGGCCAAGTTACAGCAAAAAAACCAAAAGAAAAAATTCCAATTTTTGTCAAAAACTGAAATCCCGAATTTCCAAAAAAAAAACCAAACCCGTTTTTTCGCTATAACAAAGCAAATACTGATTCAAAGTATGGATTGTCATACCTTTCTGAACTCGTTATTAAATTTCCTAACGATTGGCATTTAAACCTTGACAATTTATTCATTTTTAATTTTTCGCAAAAAATCATGGGGTACCCCCTTATAAAAAAATTAAAAATGGGCGAAAATTTAATTTTTCCAAAATTACACGGAAAGTTTTATGAATTTATAGCAAATTTTGTTATCTGTTCAAAACAGTATGAATTTTTGGTGTAGGACCATTTTTGGCCAAGTTACAGCAAAAAAACCAAAAGAAAAAATTCCAATTTTTGTCAAAAACTGAAATCCCGAATTTCCAAAAAAAAAACAAAACCCGTTTTTTCGCTATAACAAAGCAAATACTGATTCAAAGTATGGATTGTCATACCTTTCTGAACTCGTTATTAAATTTCCTAACGATTGGCATTTAAACCTTGACAATTTATTCATTTTTAATTTTTCGCAAAAAATCATGGGGTACCCCCTTATAAAAAAATTAAATATTGGCGAAAATTTAATTTTTCCAAAATTACACGGAAAGTTTTATGAATTTATAGCAAATTTTGTTATCTGTTCAAAACAGTATGAATTTTTAGTGTAGGACCATTTTTGGCCAAGTTACAGCAAAAAAACCAAAAGAAAAAATTCCAATTTTTGTCAAAAACTGAAATCGCAAATTTCCAAAAAAAAACCAAACCCGTTTTTTCGCTAAAACGTTGCAGTTTTTTCGCTATAACAAAGCAAATACTGATTCAAAGTATGGATTGTCATACCTTTCTGAACTCGTTATTAAATTTCCTAACGATTGCCATTTAAACCTTGACAATTTATTCATTTTTAATTTTTTGCAAAAAATCATGGGGTACCCCCTTATAAAAAAAAATTAAAAATTGGCGAAAATTTTATTATTTCAAAATTACACGGAAAGTTTTATGAATTTATAGCAAATTTTGTTATCTGTTCAAAACAGTATGAATTTTTGGTGTAGGACCATTTTTGGCCAAGTTACAGCAAAAAAACCAAAAGAAAAAATTCCAATTTTTGTCAAAAACTGAAATCCCGAATTTCCAAAAAAAAAAAAAAACCCGTTTTTTCGCTATAACAAAGCAAATACTGATTCAAAGTATGGATTGTCATACCTTTCTGAACTCGTTATTAAATTTCCTAACGATTGGCATTTAAACCTTGACAATTTATTCATTTTTAATTTTTCGCAAAAAATCATGGGGTACCCCCTTATAAAAAAATTAAAAATTGGCGAAAATTTAATTTTTTCAAAATTACACGGAAAGTTTTATGAATTTATAGCAAATTTTGTTATCTGTTCAAAACAGTATGAATTTTTGGTGTAGGACCATTTTTGGCCAAGTTACAGCAAAAAAACCAAAAGAAAACTGAAATCCCGAATTTCCAAAAAAAAAACAAAACCCGTTTTTTCGCTATAACAAAGCAAATACTGATTCAAAGTATGGATTGTCATACCTTTCTGAACTCGTTATTAAATTTCCTAACGATTGGCATTTAAACCTTGACAATTTATTCATTTTTAATTTTTCGCAAAAAATCATGGGGTACCCCCTTATAAAAAAATTAAAAATTGGCGAAAATTTTATTTTTTCAAAATTACACGGAAAGTTTTATGGATTTATAGCAAATTTTGTTATCTTTTCAAAACAGTATGAATTTTTGGTGTAGGACCATTTTTGGCCAAGTTACAGCAAAAAAACCAAAAGAAAACTGAAATCCCGAATTTCCAAAAAAAAAACAAAACCCGTTTTTTCGCTATAACAAAGCAAATACTGATTCAAAGTATGGATTGTCATACCTTTCTGAACTCGTTATTAAATTTCCTAACGATTGGCATTTAAACCTTGACAATTTATTCATTTTTAATTTTTCGCAAAAAATCATGGGGTACCCCCTTATAAAAAAATTAAAAATTGGCGAAAATTTTATTTTTTCAAAATTACACGGAAAGTTTTATGGATTTATAGCAAATTTTGTTATCTGTTCAAAACAGTATGAATTTTTGGTGTAGGACCATTTTTGGCCAAGTTACAGCAAAAAAACCAAAAGAAAAAATTCCAATTTTTGTCAAAACTGAAATCGCAAATTTCCAAAAAAAACCAAACCCGTTTTTTCGCTAAAACGTTGCAGTTTTTTCGCTATAACAAAGCAAATACTGATTCAAAGTATGGATTGTCATACCTTTCTGAACTCGTTATTAAATTTCCTAACGATTGGCATTTAAACCTTGACAATTTATTCATTTTTAATTTTTCGCAAAAAATCATGGGGTACCCCCTTATAAAAAAATTAAAAATTGGCGAAAATTTTATTTTTCCAAAATTACACGGAAAGTTTTATGAATTTATAGCAAATTTTGTTATCTGTTCAAAACAGTATGAATTTTTGGTGTAGGACCATTTTTGGCCAAGTTACAGCAAAAAAACCAAAAGAAAAATTCCAATTTTTGTCAAAAACTGAAATCCCGAATTTGAAATCCCGAATTTCCAAAAAAAAAACAAAACCCGTTTTTTCGCTATAACAAAGCAAATACTGATTCAAAGTATGGATTGTCATACCTTTCTGAACTCGTTATTAAATTTCCTAACGATTGGCATTTAAACCTTGACAATTTATTCATTTTTAATTTTTCGCAAAAAATCATGGGGTACCCCCTTATAAAAAAATTAAAAATTGGCGAAAATTTTATTTTTCCAAAATTACACGGAAAGTTTTATGGATTTATAGCAAATTTTGTTATCTGGTCAAAGCAGTATGAATTTTTGGTGTAGGACCATTTTTGGCCAAGTTACAGCAAAAAAAAACAAAAGAAAAATTCAAATTTTTGTCAAAAACTGAAATCCCGAATTTAAAAAAAAAAAAACAAAACCGGTTTTTTCGCTAAAACAAAGCAAATACTGATTCAAAGTATGGATTTAACTATCCAAATAAATAATATCAGTAGGCCTATAGCTTTTCTGCCAACTGGTTTGCCTCCTTCTAATCATTCCAACTATAGACGTCGATCCGAAAACTTGTCCAATATGACTTCCATTAACCTGCTTGTGATTATCTACGTGACCATGGTGATCTTTGGCTACTGGAGGGCCGAGGCCAGACGCCCATCGAAGAAGCTGAACTACTACAACTACGACGAAGAGTCGGATGTCTTCGAGCGGCAGTTGGATACGGACTATCAGCTGCAGCCGAAGTCGCACTCCGGCGATGAGGAGGACCCCATGGACGAGGCCCTGGACACCTCGGACCTGGAAATGGGGCTGCAGAGTCGCTTTGGCCGGAAGAAGCACCGTTCGCAGCGCAAGCCAGCAGCCGCCAGGAAGTTCCCCTCATCCTGGTCCATGCTGGTCAACGAGGCTCACGAGGGGGAGAGGCACTTCGATTCGGACTTCAAGATGATCGACGAGGAGGAGGAACAACATTAAAATGCACACAAAGAGACCACATAAATTCCAATTCATACGATTCTCACACACACTGACCTAATTGATTTATTTCTTATTGAGCGTTTTTTCCTGCTTTTGGATAATCATGTTTTAATCATCGTTCACATAAATACACTAATACACCAAATATTTTGTTTAAATATCTACTGGGATAAATCAAGGAACTAAACGGAATTTAATTTAGGAAAATATTTCTTGATTTTTACAGGGAATGATTTTCTTCATTGAGAACTTTTTACATATAATAAAATGAACTTAAATTAAAGTAGATAAAAGGCAAAAAATATACAAACGTAATAATTAGCAAACAAATATCTTCCAACTATATTAATAAATATATAAATTCTATGTTTTCTGTTGAAAAATAAAAATATATTAAACTTCTTATGCCACCATTGAATTTTTGTAAATTTCACATTAGAAGCCCGTTTAAATTTAAAGCCAAAATGTGAGTCCATATTCGCATATGGGCAACATTCAATTTGTTGCTCAACTTTCTGCCACATCATCGAATCGAATCGAATCAACTTTGACTGATTTTCCTGTTGAGTCAGCTGGAAGTTTCACCCCCGTTTCAGCCCCTCGTCCTTTTGTGTCGACTGAATGTGTCGAATGGCGCCAAATCGGAGCTGGGAAACTTTGGCGGAGGTGTCAAAGCCAGTCAATCATTCAGATCATTCGGTGCACCCGGCTGCAGTGCAGTCCACACCCACTCAGCCAGGAGCTGAGCTCTGTCAAATTAGTGCAGCCTATTTCAGTTGTCATAGCTTCCGGCCACGCCCCCTCAGCCACCGCCCACTAAGGGTGCCGGAAAAGCTGGAACTTTTGGCACTTCAGTTTGTGTGTGAATTTTAGGGAGGTAGGAAAACGAAGTAAGTACATTGAACTTTTAATAAATACCCTAATGAATTTATTAAGAATATCTAATACATTTTATTTTAAAAAAAACTTAATATTTATTAAGTTTAATTATAATTTATTAAAAAAATGTTTACGAATAATAAATACCCTAATACATTTTTAAAGAATATAGTTTAATTATAAATATTTTGTAGGTAAAAAAGTTTAAATTTGTGAAATAAATATTTTATATTTTCGAGCTTAAACTTTAATTGCATTCCATTCTTTCGTTGCGAAACCCTTTTTGCTGATGGACCTTTTTCAAAAGAATTTTCTAAACTTTCACCAAATTGTGTAGGTGAATGTGTGTGCCCTGCGAATGTGTGTGCGTGGGCTGGCGTGTGTGTGAGCTTGTGGGTTTTCTTATTTGCCAAGCGCTTGTCGCTCGACTGGCCCCAAAAATGGCTCAAAGCAATTTTCAAATTGTTTTCACAATCACAACGAAATCGATTTGCAAATATACACAACCGACCCCCCTTTCGGAAATCGACGACAACAACAACAAGTGCCACGCTCATTTGATGTGGCTCCTCTTGTACTTGCTGCCCAACCATTTCTAGCCACAATTATTGTCCGTCGTGTAGTTAAAATGTTGATGGGCTTATGGCCTTTGCCTTTGCCTTTGCGTCAAGGATACGCAGGATTTGCTCCTCGGATTTCCGGCGATTTATTTCCGCTGATAAAGTGCGATTTGAAAGGCGATTTGCACAAACAACAAATCTCTCCTTTGTCCGCTTTTCTCGGCAACCGATTGGTTTTATGGCCATGTCAATTGTTTTGTCGCCTTTTCTTTGCGTTATTTTTATGAGGGTCTCTTTCTTTACTTTTTTGGCGTGGGTTTCTTTGATGGCATGGGTATAATAACTTATCGAGGGCTCAACGCACTTGGCTGGCTAAACATCTACCATCTACAACTTGCCTGTCGGTTTTTATTAAATTTTTGCGCCCGCGACGTTTAATAAACGAGAAATAGCTGGCATAGCCGCGCGCCACATGGCGTATACTTGATGTGTCAGGCGCGCGGACGGGGGAAAATGCGGCAAATGAGGGGAATGAGGGAAATGAGTGAAAAGCGAGAAGAGAAGGGAACCGAGCCGAACCGCAGCTTAAATGCCAGTTTAAAAACGCTATGTGGGCCATGTCGACCAAAACTGAATTATGAATGAACGAAAGGTGGAAAAATGCGGCAGCTGCGACAGTGAAACTGAGAGAAAAAATTAAAAAAAACAAGTTTAATATATAATTAATATTAGCTAAAAACGTCTCTTTAATTAATATGTTTAAGAGCCTAAAAGGCTCAAAAGTCTTTCAAAATAAACCTGACTTTTATTTTATGTTTATTAAAAAATCGATTTAAGTCTTGTTAAAAATTACAGAAAAATATACAAAAAAAATTTACAAAATATGAAACGTAATATTAAAATATAAGAAATGTGAAATCAAATACTTCAAATAAATATATTTAAAAAACTATTTCCTAACCATTTTTCTTAAAAAGGCCCAGTTTTGGCATAATATACTAAATTAAATTTAAGGTTTTAACACCATAACACATTTTTCCTTTTACTATTTAAGTAAGAAATGATTTTGAAATGATAATTGATTTTTCTTATAAAAGCCCAGTTTTGGCTTGCTAATAAACTATATATTCTTGAATATTTAAATATTTTTTCTTAATTTTTGAGCAGTGCAGCAAACGAATCCTTGCCTGCCTTGCACTTTGCACTTGTCTCGGCAAGGTCAGCGTGGAGGGTGGTGGGTTGAGTGGGTTAAATAGAGGGTAGGGGGATGCTGCGGTGCCTCTCGTTTGCTGCCGCTCTGAACTTGAACTTTGTCAGACCGAAAACAGATGCTCGCTGTCTGCTAAGTCGGCTTTAATTATGGCAGACAACACTTTGCACGCTCCTCGCAGGGAAAACAGGGCACTGGAAAAAAAGAGGAGTAGGAAGGGGGTCTAAAAAAATATACAGGTCTTCAGTTACCACCGAGCAATTAGGGGCGAGGCTACAAATTCTTCACACGCGCCGCACATAAATTCGCTGGCCAAGGGAAAGGGACAACAACAATGGGGCAGCTGGAGTCGGCGAAAGAGATAGAAAACAAGAAGTGAAAGAGACAAAGAGAGAGCTGAGATGGCGACAAGAATTCCCCCTGCATTCTGTCATATTTTCCGCTATTTATTTAAGGCCAAAACTTTTCCCCCCATCTTGTGAACAACAAGTGAAATATGATGCCTGCCTTCGCGCCTTACCTTTAGCTCTATATATAGATATATATATATATGGACCCCACATAATCATATTCATGACAATATAATGGCATCGTTAGATGGGCACACAAAAGTCGGTCGCCTGGAAGTCCTAGGCAACCGCAGAAGCAGAAGCAGAAGTCGCTTTCATTTCATTCCCTTCCACTTTTCGCCAACGGCTGTCCATTAGCCAAGTCAGCGGGTCCGCCGAAAGTATGTCTATAAGGGGAGGATTCTCCAGGTTTTCCTAGGACGGCGAGGGGGGTGGTTCGGATTTCAGGACACGTCGAGACTGTAAAGTTTTCCGGTGCTTCCGCCGAGGTCTCTAAATAATTTTATTACCACCACGTTGGCGCACTTAATAATTGTAAACAATAATGGCAGGTGGAAAGAATGGCCCGTATTATGAGTCAAATCAAAAAAAAAACAAGAGGTCGGAAAAGTACTTGATAATTTAATATAATGCTAATAAATAAATGGCTTCTTCTTGATTATTGTAAGCCGCAATAAGACCATTTAAATAAAATAAAAAGCCTTCGTTATTTATTTCTTAATATAATTTTATATTATATTATATATCTGACCACTTTTTTCACCCACATTTTAAGATTTTACTATTTTTACTTCCCGGGCTCTTAAAACATTAATAAAGTTAAGTATTTCTTATACTTACCGAATGCTGCTTGAATTTTTTTCGGAATTTTTCAAACATTTCGTGTGAGTATTTTGGGTTTTACATATACACAAAGGTACATACATATATACATATACATATATATATGTTTTGGGGAGAGTGTGTGAGTGTTGTGGGTGTGTGCGTGTTTTCAGGGGGGTTGGGGGGTGGGAGTAGAAGAGAAAAAGAAAAAAAATATATAAATATAAATTTATATATATATATGTAAATATTTATCAAATGATTGCACATTTAACATGATGAGATTTATTTGGTATTTTTTTTTGTTTTGCTTTGTTTTTTTCTTTTGTGGGAAATTTAAGAAACATGAGAAGGGCTTTGTGGGTGTGTGTGTGTGCGTGTGTAGATGGCATGCAGGAAGCTAGAAAGAGATAGACAAAGGTCTGAAAAATACACTAAAACAACAAACAAACGGCATTGGAAAATGGGAGAATTCTAGGACTTACCTGGGTCAAAAGTCACCGGCAGGGAAAATCTAATAAAACGAAAAAGCTTTTGACAGGCAATCAGGGGTTGCCGCTGGCAGCTGTTAAACGCTGACATCTATTGATTTTGACAATAAAATATGCGTTTCGAGAGCGAGATTTGCACCCCTTCAACCCCTTTACCCCTTTTTGGCACCCCAAAACAAAACAATGAATGATATGCTCCACAAGCTGAAGTCTCTATACTCTTAGAGTTACTACACAAAAAAAAAACACGGCGAGCATATACAATTGAGATGCCGAATACCACATAATAAGTTTATTTTGTTTGTAAGTTCTTGCTACAAATAATATATATGTAATGCACTTTTATTATAAACATTATGAAAATTAATATTTTCTAATAAATGAAAAATCCCTGTGTCACAAAAAGTGATCAGGTTAATAATACCTCCTGTTAGGATATCAAAAGGGGTGAAGAACCCAAAACATTATTCGATTGTTTGGCCCTCTGTTTCAGTTTCAGTTTCATTTTCTGTTTCAGTTTATGTCTCAGTCCGCCTGTTGCCAACCAAACCAAATGTCACGTTTCGTTTTTATTTCAATTTGCAATGCGAGCTGCGAGGGCCCCACAAATCTGATTTTGAACTCAATCAAGCGTGTCAGGGCCCAACGACTAACAGTTACGGCCATGCCACGCCCCCACTCACGC